TTTCTGCTTTATTTTTTAGATTACTTTTAGATTTTAAAAAATTGAGAAGATAGCAAAGAGTTTCCATATACCCTGAACACAGTTTCCCCTATTATTGCCATCTTACATTACTATGTAATATGTAATTTGAAATCAGGAAATGTGATGCCTCCAACTCTGATCTCGTTTTTAAGATTGCTTTGGCTATCCAGGGTCTTTTGTGGTTCCATACAAATTTTAATATTCTTTTTCTGTTTCTTTGAAAAATACCATTGGAATTTTGATAGGGATTTCCTTGAATCTGTGGATCACTTTGGGTAGTATGGACATTTTAACAATATTAATTCTCCCAATCCATGAACCCAGAGTATCTTCCCATTTTTTGTCTTCTTTAATTTATTTCATCAATGTTTTATAGCTTTCAGTGTACAGATCTTTCAACTACTTGGTTACATTGATTTCTAAGTATTTTATATATTTTCGATGCTATTGTAAATGAGATTGTTTTCTTCATTTATTTTTTTTAGATATAATTTCTATTTTTTTAATTTGTTGAGGTCTGATTTTTGGCCTAGGATGTGATCAATTTTGGAGAAAGTTTCATGAGCTGATGAGAAGGATGTATATTCATCTTTATTTGGGTAGAATGTTCTATAGATTTCTGTTAGACCCATTTGTTCTAGAGCTCTGTTTAAGTCGATTGTTTCTTTGCTTATTTTCTGCTTGGAGGTTCTGTCCAGTTAAGTCAGAGGGGTGTTGAAATCCCCAGCTACTATGGCATTACTGTTTATCATGCTATTTAGATCAAACAGGGTTTGCTTTATGTATCTGGGTGCTCCTGTGTTGGGTGCATAAATATTAAGAATTGTTATGTCTTCTTGTTCGATTTTTCCTTTCACCGTTATATAGCAACCATCTTTGTCTTTCTTTACTTTTGCTATTTTAAAATTTATGTTATCTGAAATAAGAATAGCTATCCCCACTTTCTTTTGGCTTCCATTTTCCTGGAAGCTTGTTTTCCAACCTTTGACCTTGAGTCCGAAAGTGTCTTTGTGGGTTAGATGTGTTTCCTGGAGGCAGCAGACACTTGGCTTATGATTTTTTATCCACTTAGCCAGTCTATGTCTCTTCAGAGGACAATTCAAGCCATTCACATCTATTGAGAGGATTGATATTTGGTGTAGATTTCTGTTCATATTGTTGGGTAAATTCTTATTGTTTTGTTTTACCTCTTGAGCCATTGTGGAATCCAGGTTCTGGACTTTAACTCTTGAGTTATTTTACTTTGGTGGGTGTCTATTGCACTGTTCAGTATATAATGCAGGTTTGAGTTCTTCCTGTAGGGCAGGTCTGGTCTTCACAAATTCCATCAGTGATTTCCTGTCTGGGACAGTCTTTATTTCTCCCTCATAGATGAAGCTTAGTTTTGCCAGGTAAAGAATTCTAGGTTGGCCACTATTCTGTTTTAGAATATTTTTGATTAGTCCCCAGTCCCTTCTGGCTTGTAAGATTTCAGTTGAGAAATCTACAGTTAGTCTGATAGGTTTTCCTTCGTAAGTTATCTGCTGTTTTTGTTTTACTGCTCAAAGGATTGCCTCCTTCATGTTTACTTTGGCCATGCTGATAATTATATGATATGGTGATTCCCTTTTCATGTTGAGTCTCCCAGGAGTTCTGTGTGCTTCTTGTATCTCAATATCTAGATTTCTGGCCAGGCCAGGCATATTTTCCTCCATTATTCCAATAAATATATTTTCCAGCCCTTGTGTATTTTCTTCTTCTCTTTCTGAGATGCCTATAGTTCTTATTTTTGGTTTCTTTACATAATCCCACATTTCTTATATGTTTTGTTCTTATCTCTTGCTTCTGTGTTCTTTTTCTTCATCTGACTTGTTTAGCACATAGGCATTATCTTCAAGCTCTGAGATTCTTTCCTCTGCATGATCCATTCTATTCTTAAGGCTTTCCACTGTGTTTTATAGTTCCTTGAATGCCTCTTTCATTTCCAGTATTTCTGTTTGGTTCTTTTGTAATATTTCAATTTCTTTAGGGAATTTTCCCTTCATTTCCTGTATTGTTCTTGTGGCTTCTTTGTGTTGGGTTTCTATTTTCTCTTCAATTCCTCTGAGTTTTCTTACAATCCATATTCGGAATTCTTCTTCCATCATTTTAGTCTTTTCATTTAAATTGGTATCTGTTGTTGAGGGTCTAATGCTTTCTTTTGGGGATGACTTTTCTCTCTGATCTTTCATGTTTCCTGCATTCTTTCACTGCTTCTTTCTCTTCAGGCTACTTGATCGAGAACTGGGGGTGCCAGGACTGGTTTATGGCCCTATCTCCAAGTCCCCAAAGGGACATTCCTTGACAGTGGTGGGAAGAGGCACGCTGGTGTTGTATTGCCTTAGAGGTATTTTAGCAAGTTGGGCTACGTCTGACCTGCTGTCTTCACCTCTTGCCAATGGAGATTAGTGAGTTTGGTCTACCAGCTTAAGCTCCCAGGTGGTGGGTCACACTTGTGCATATGACTAAACTGCCCTCTAATAGCTTCAGATGGAAGGCACTGTGTTAAGCTACAGGGTTACCCTCTCTGTCGTTGATTGTAATTTGCATAGAGGAGCCAGTTATTGAGGTAATCTGATGCCTCTGTGTTAGTCTCTGGTCCCCCAGATGGGGAATACAAATGCCCCAATATTTAGGAAGGGTCCTGCCACTCCTGAGAGTTACTTGGACCCTGTTCCCCCTTAAGGTGAGGGTAAGGGCAAGGTAGATCTCAGCTGGTGCCTGCAAGCCTGGTTGCATGTGCTTCTATGGTTGCTTGATCTGCCGCTAGCGGGAGCCGCTAATATGTTTTCCAGGGCTCTTTCACCACACTTGGGAGGCTGTTCCTGGTGGGCGGGATCAATTGGTACAATGGCTGAGGTCTCTGGCTAGGATTTTCCTTCCCTGTCCACAAACCCCACTGCTGGCAGCCACCAGGACATGGAGGGTAAGCCCTAGAGTTATGTTCTTATTAGATGACCTAAGCTGGTCCAGTGGGCTGAATCAACAGGCTGCCGATTATTGTTCATTGCCAAGGCCCTACATATTCACACCAGTCACACAGAGAAAGCAGCTTTTTTGTCACTTCTCCCCACTTCGAATGGTGGAGCCCTCCGCTCCCGATGCCAAAGTCGCTGGGCTGGGCTGAGGGAGGGGTGTTGCCGGAGACCGCCACGTGCCCCAGGATCTGGGGATCCCACAGATGGCGACCTCCCATCCTTGGAGAACTAGCGTTGGAGGGAAGCACTGAAGATTGGCCCACTGCCACAGGCTCAGCTAGCTGAATCAATAGGTCACGGACTATTTTTCAGCACTAAAGTCCCGCGGATTCATGCCAGCCGCACAGAGAAAGCGGCTTTACTAACTTCTATTTATGTCCAAGGGCAGCGCCCAGTGGGAGGGATGCTGCCCCAAACTGCAGCGTGGGGCAGCGTCTCTGGGTTGTGGACCCTCAAAATGGCGGCCGCCCACCTGTGGAGAGCTAATGCTGGGGGTCACCGCTCAGGAGTTGGCAGATGCCGGTTCGGCGGACTGAATTAACAGGCTGTTAGCTGTCCCCTATGCATCACAGTCGTGCAGTGTCACGTCTGTCTGGCAGAGGGTCCTGTTCTTTCTGTGCTGGCCTAATCAGCAGTTTCCAGGGGCAGAGCCCCCTTTTCAGCATTCACCTCATTTGTTCTGGTCCTGCTGACCACCAGAGGCGAGGTCCCTGTCTCCAAACTCCTTAGCATGGTTGTGGGAACTGACCACTCAGACCAGTCCCTCCCCCACCCAGCACAGAGCACTGGGGAGTTCAAAATGTTTCCTGCTATTGTCCCCTCTCCACAGAGCCCCTCCTGCTGTGCCACGACTTTGTACCGACTTCAGGCGCGTCCCTGTCTGAGTGGGTGTGGAGGTCAGTGAAGGAGCTGGGCGTCCTCCTGTGGGTCAGATCCCACTGCACTGGCTGGCCAGGCAGGCGCAGCCATCCCATGCTTTGTTCTCTATTGTTTATCTCTCATTCTGCAGACTTTGCGATCGTAGCTCCCATTTACCTTTATTTTTTTTCCTGTGTTGCTTGTCCCACGCTGTTTCTCTGTAGTTTCACAATGATGTTTTTGGTGGGGAGCGATCCACTAATCTGTAGCTGTCCGAGTTCTTCACCTCCCTCTCTGGGAGCAGAGAGCCAGGAGGTCACCACTAATCTGTCATTTTCCCCAGGAGCTGTCACAAATAATTTGATCATATATGCCACAATTTATTTCTGGTTCTTTATTCCATTCTGTTGGTCTATATGTCTATCTCTACGCCAGTTCCACACATTTTGATTACTGTAGTATGATAAATTTTTTTTTGTTTTTTTTTAAATTGTCCTCGGATATAGGACTTATCAGATATTAAACTGATAAGAACAGATACTACACTTGATCTTAGCCAAAAGGCCGAAAAGCGATCTAGTATGATAAATTTTGAAATCAGGAAGTGTTAGTTCTCCAACTTTGTTCTTTGTTTCAAGATTGTTTTGGCTTTTCAGGGTCCCTTGAGATTCCATTTGAATTTTAGGGTGGATTTTTATATTTCTGCAGAAAATACTATTAAGAGTTTAATAAGGATTGCAATAAATCTGTAGATCACCTTGGGTAAAGAATTGTTGGCAGAGGGAAATAATACATACCTCATGTCTATTCATGTAACTTCACTGGATCTCAGTAACCAGTTTTTAAAATTTGGCATCAGTTCTTGGGAAAAAGCATAAATTAGATATTGGGGGATAAATGATCATCTGATTATAGGTATTCATGAAAATAAAATGTTTATGGCTTAATTAAACTGAAATTAAGTGATTTATTGATGATAAATAGGCTCATTTAAACATTTCATAACATTACCTGAGAAATACTTTCATCTGGCTTGTTTTGCTCACACTGAAATACATTTTAATCCCATTGATCAAAAACCAGTTTGTCTATTCATATTGCTTCAAATTGTGTCTTCTTGAACAGAGAATCTGTTGGGTTTTATTTCCTGAAGATTATCTGTGAACATTTTAAGTCATCAGAAAATATTGGAAAAGCTCTGCTGCTCCACATTGACATGCTTTTACAAAAGAAGGAAGAACTACTTGCCAAGGAGAAGATTGAAGAAATCATTTTAGGTCAGTAGGATTTTTGTGGTGTTTTAGAAAGGTGTTAATCTGGATATAATTCTAAGATAGATGTCAGAGCAGTAGCATAATCCTCATGTCAACAGATTTCACCCACTTTTTTTCCTCCCTCATGGTCTTCAGTAGTAACACCTCACCTGTCCACATCCCAGAAATTGGGCAAGCTAGAATGAGAAAATAAGCAAAAAGAACAAAACATCAGCAAAAACAGACAAACCTCTGAGCTTAAAGTTCATGTGTAGTGGAAAATTGTGAGGTTACAAGCCTAAATTCATGTCTAGAAGTTTGATCTCAAATTATGTGTGTGCCTTTGGGCAAGTCAATATCTCTGTATCTTGGTTTTTTTTTCAACTATAAAATGAGGATTGTGAACTAAATTCCTTGGGTTAACAAAAATTTTTTTTAGAGATGAGGTCTCACTATGTTGCCCAGGCTGGCCTTGAACTCCTGAGCTCAAGGGATGCTCCTGGCTCAGCTCCCAGGTAGCTGGGACTACAGATGTGGGCCACCATGTTCAGCTAAATTCCTGGCTTTTAAACTTCTTTTTAGCAGCAACATCCTTTTGTGATGTAATCTTATATGAACTTCACCCTGAATAAAATAGATTAGAGTTTCTCTGGTTAAAGCAGAGATGTGGAACCAAATCTTCTCAACATTCCCTGCTCCTCTACCTCTCTGCAGAACTGTGTACCCTAAAGAATATAGATAGTATGATCCCTTTATTAGAAAATTCTCTCCACCACCTCATCCTTTCAATGCTACACATGTATAGAAATATAACTGGAATGATATTCACTAAATGTTAGTTATCACTGGTGTTTATTTTGAATGGTGGCGTTTTAGGTGATGTGTTGCTTTCTTCTTTATACTTTACCATATGGCTTGAATTTTTATAGTATGTATCATGTTTTTATAGAAACAAAGTCATTGATTGATATTTTTTAAAAGGAATGCAATTGACTAATGAACTCCAGATTCTATGAACCATATTTTACTGATAATCCCCTCCCTCCAGAGTCTGGGGAACCTGTAGCCCTGGGGGCCACATGTGGTCTTCTGAATCCTTGAGTGTGGCCTTTTGACTGAATCCAAATTTTACAGAACAAATACTTTTATTTAAAGGGGTGCAGCAGAGAAAGATGAAGCTTTTCTTGCTTCCTTTAATGCTTAAGAATGAACAATCTTGAAATCAGAAGGCCATGGGTTCCCCACCCCTGCTCTGGACTTTCACTAAGAATCCAACTATTTTTAGACCCAGTTTTGATAACCTTGGATATCAGGTTTTCCTACTTTTAGCATTTTAATGGTAGCATAGTAAAAAAAGCAAAAGGATCTACAGGGAAATACACAGGTAGCCTGACCAGAGGGA